AGCCCCGGGATGTGGGTTTAAATGACCACGATATCCTTCATTGCCAAGACCGTACCACCTGTCACCTCCCCATCTGTCCTCTACAGTTTTTCACCCGTCCACCCATCCCTGTGTCCATCCTTCCTCTGACCCTCTGTCCACGCATCCACTCATCCCATCTGCAGGGAAGCGGTATAATGGTAGGTAGGTAATGAGAACTTGGAGCCCAAATGCCTGGTGTTGAGTCGGATGTGGCCTGAGAGGGAGGCAGGTGACCCCTCGCTGAACTCACGGTGCAAGTCCAGGTGCTGTGGACACAGGGAGGAGGGGTTGTCACCAGCTGGAGTCTCCCAGTTCAGGAGGGCTCTCATTGAAGGCGTCATCACCGTCTCGTGGTCACCCCTGAGATTTCTTTGTCCAGGGATGGGGCTGTGGCCCGTTGACAAGGTGAGTCTGTAAGCCTTCCCCAGTGCCTGCATGCTCTTTGTCTTCAGCACTCTGACCCTTCTTCCTCTGGTCCCCGTGTTCTACTTTGCTGTCTTCCCTGGCCCTTCTCCATTCTCCCTCCCCTCTTTATTCCTACCCTGTGTCTGTCCAATGCACCTGTCTCCAGAGGCCTGTTGTAGGTAACTGACTGGTAACTCGGCTGTGCAAATGGGTCAGTGTCATCAATATGTACTGTGACACCCCTTTCCTGGTCTCATTTACGTATCATTGTGTTAGTCAGCTTTCCGTCACTGTGACAAAACACCTGAGAAAAATCAGGAGGAAAGATTAATGTTGGTCCAGGCTTTCAGCCCACGGCCACGTGGCTCCAGTACTATGGGCCTGTGGTGAGGCAGAACGTCATGGCGGGGGCACATAGCGGAGCAGAGCTGCTCACCTCATGGGGGCCAGGAAGCAGAAAGACAGAGAGATCAAGGAAGGGGTGGGGACAATACATACCCTTCCAGGCACACCCCAGTGACACACTGCCTCCCACTAGGCCCCACTTCCTACAGTTTCCCTCACCTCCTAATAGTTCAATTATGAAGCCATCGGTGGGTTAGTCCAGGGATGAGGTCAGAGCCCTCAAGATCCCACCAGCCCCCAAAGCCCTACCCCGGAACATGGCTGCTCCGAGGACTAAGCCTTCAACATGAACCTCTGGAGAACATTCCAGATTCAAACCATAACACCGTCAGGTACCTGGTAAGTGCATTTACTGTGCACTAGGAAGCTGCCTACTGTGAATACTGGCCCTGTAATATTCAGTGCTGTTTGTGTGCGGTTACGTATTTTAAGCACAAACTGCGTGCCTTGTGAATTTCAACCGAGTCTGAGTTTCAACTTTCTTCAAAAGGCCACATGTAGGCTTGGGGCCTAGCTCAGGGGTAGAGCACTTGCCTGTGTGTGTGAGGTCCTGGGATTTGATCCCCAGTGTGTGTGCGTGTGTGTCCCCGGATCTAAGGCAGCCTCTTGGAGGGATGGTGAGGGTGTGGGAAGGTCGCAGTCCGACAGGCCTGGGTTCCAGTCTTACCAAGCCTCTCGATAACTCTGTGTCCTTGGGTGAGTCATTGAACATCTCTGAACCTGTTTCCTTAAGTCAGATGGAGACGGGATGCCCACCTGCTGGGTGGCTGAGAGTCCTTTAAGGAACTTTCTGTGCTGGGCAGATGCCACCCCTCTCAGAGGAGGAGCCCAGGTAACTGGGGACATTTGGAGTGGGCTGAGATCCCCGTGGTTGCAGCCCTGGGCTGTCTGTGGCATGTATTCTAGGGGAGTGGCATATTGCCACAGAGTGGCCTAAGACGGATTGGCATCTGACTGTCCCCCCCACCCCGGGTCCAATTATCAAGGACCTTGCAGGATGTTTTACAAGATTTCACCCATGCTGATGTCCCCCAGGGTCTCTGTCGATATTGCTGGGTGACCCCTTACTTCTTCCCGGAGGATTCGTGTCATCCACCTCTCGGATCTCAGTGTCCCTGGCTGGAAGGCATGCTTTGGCCTCTTGCCAAGGGCCCCGACCCCCTTTCTTAGATTTTGAATCTGCAAAAAAGACGGTTCTCCCGCTGTGAGATTCCTGGAGAGGCCATGCCCTGCACACACGGGTTCACTCATGTCTTCCTTGGGCCAACCTCATCAAGTCCTGCCATTTGCTGAGCCCTGGAGGTACAGCAGGGTGTCACTGGTGACCGGTGCTGTGGTTCCAGACCCTCCCCTCCCCTTCCCAATGGTCTGTGGTCACATCCTCAATAGGCTTAGGCTCAGCAGTGGGGGGCTGGGGGCTGCAACTGGTAACCGAGAACATTGAACAGTGAAGAACACACACTGCGATGCTCCTGTGTCCAAATATTGTGTCAAAATGACTCAATTCTCTCAGACCACTGGAGATGGGGGCTCAGGAAAGTTGTTGGAGCCTGGGACGTTGTTTCTGAGCCCAGACTGAGCCTGGATTTGAGGTGATGGCTTTGCAGGTGGTGGGTCAAGTGGTAGGGGCGGGCACTATCACCTGGTTGGGGTTGGAAGGAGAAGTGAGGGGGAGAGGAGAAGGGAGGAGGGCACCTGGGTGGGCGCTCGGGGAGAGTCCTGGAGGCCAGAGGAGGTGCGTTCAGAGAGATGGGGGATGACAGCTTGAGTGAGGACCTGCAGTCAGCAGTCAGGAGACCCAGGGCCCGTGTCCAGCTGGACGCTGGTGACTTTGGGCATGGCCTCCTCTCTGACCAGGAACCAGAGCACAGGGAATTAGCCAGAAGGAGGCTGGGCAGGAGAGGCGGGACCTCAGCCAGTCTTTGAGAGGCAGCTGAGGGGGCTGGGGATGGAAGGAGGGGCTCTCCCCGGTGCTGCGCGTGTTTGGGGGGAGTACAGAGTCCACGCTGCGTGTGTGGAGCTGCACACACACAGGCCTCGGGACAGGGAAGCGGGCGATCTGGGAGGGTGGAGGAGCTGCAGGCCCAGGTGCGGCCCCTCGCCACCAAGATGGACCTCAGATGAGGGCAGCGGCGCTCCCTGCTCCACCCTGAGCAGCGAAATGAAAACCCGGAGCAGCTGCCGCTCTGCTCCCACCTTCCAAATCTCACGCAAATGTCTCTGCTCCCCACGCCACCCCGGCACCACCCAGGGAAGGGTATTTTGGGAACCTCGTTGCAGTTGCTTGGTTGTTCTGTGCTAGTTAGGTTGATTCTGTGCAAAGCGAGCCCGGGGATGAAGTGGGACGACGTTCGCCGTCCACGGTGACAGATGGGCCTCCGCTTTAGCTCAGGTGGGCGAGGGAAGCCCCTGTGAGGAAGGAGCATTGGCAACAAGACCCGGAGAAGAGAGCTGATGGGTCCCAGGGTCAGGAAGGGGGGCAGGGTGCTGGGCCCTGGAGGCAGGGGGAGAGGTGCCAGGAGGCCTGGGTGGGCAGCGGGAGCCGCGGCCAGTGGAAGCTCTCTGGCTGCCAGGGGTCGCGGGCGTGGTTGAGGTTGTCATTGGGAGTGTAAGCAGGGCAGTGGTGAGGCCTGTTAAGTTTGACCACAGCTCACCTGGGCTGCTGGGTGACGAGGGACTGTGGCGGGGGAGGGGGGGGGAGCGGAAGCAGGGAGCCCAGATCCAGGGAGGGGCCTCTTCATTGATCTTAAGAAGGGCCGATGACAGGGACATGTGATGGCCAATGAGAGGCCAGTGTGAGGGCAGCGAGGAGAGGTGACTGGATTTTGTACCTACTTTGGGCCAGAGACTGGGCTGAGGGGGTTTGTGTGATGGAGGGGAGACAAGTGTAAAGTCCTCAAAAACAGCACACAGTATGCTCAGCTCCTTCCCTAGGTGGCCCTCGCCCTCAATGGCCATGAGAACCCACTCTCTGGAGCCCCTCCTGTCCCCTCTCTATCCCCCACCCCTCTGCTTGGGGCTCCTGTCAGCCTGGTGCCCCCAGGGTCCTGTGCCTTTAAGATGGGCTGAGAAGGGGCCACAGGAGATCCATCTCCTCAAAGTCCTGCCAAAGTGAGAGGAGAGAGAGGGGATGATAACAGCAAGAACCTGCCTGGGGGACAGAGTCGACTCCCCCCCCCCCCCCCCCCCCGCAAGTTCCCCTCTGGCTCTGCGAAGCCTCAGAAGAGTTCTCTCCAACATATGAGTAATAACCCGGCCAGGCGCTGTCCTGGGAGCCCAGGGAGGAGACCAGCCATTCTGTGTTTGATTAGAATTGATTTCCAACCTGCAGCCTCCCTGTGCCAGCCTCCCACGCTCGCCGCCCCCCGGCACAGCTTGGCGGCCAGAGAGCGAGGCAGGAGGAGCAGGCAGCGGGAGGAGAGGGGTCTGCGGTGCCCCAAGTGACCCTTGGCGATAGGGATGGGGAGAAGAGATGCATCTTCCACGGGCTGCCCAGAGGGAGAGGCCGTGGGGCTGCAGGTGGGTTGGCTGGGGTAGGGAGCAGCCCGGCAGGCATAGCTTAGACTTTGCTGTGTGATTTTGCGTAGCTCCTGTACCCTCTCTGGGTCTCAGTTTCCTCCTTTGGCTTTGACTAGCTTTTAAGGACCCTTAGAAGCTCTGATTTTAGGACGACTTGTCCTCTCTGTGTGGGAGCAGATTTAGTTCTTTCTGATTGGGTTGGGAGGTTCCTTGGACAACAGATTGGGGAACAATGTGGGGACAGAAGGGAGAAGACCCGGGCGAGACTGGATTATGCAGACTTTGGGTCAAGGGCTCTCTCCTTTTTGGGAAATGGCTCCGGATGCCTCTCCCTCATTTGTTCACTCATTCACTAGTTATTAATCCCAGGCTGCATGCCCAGCGCTGCAAGGTTGTGGTCACAATATTCTCAAGGTGTTGGAAGAGGGGCAAGTACAAGGTTCTGGGGACACCAAGGAAAGACCACTGAACTGGGCATCCCCCCAGAATCTCATGTTTAAGCTGGCACCCCACGGGTGAGCTGGAGAAGGTCAGGGAGGGAGAGGGAGGGAGGAAGCACCCGGAAGAGACAAGGGTCTCTGCAGAGGTGCAGAGGGAGAGCCATCAGGGCATGGGGGGCGGGTTGAAATGTGCCAGGGTGACGGAAAGGAGGCCCAGGGTGGGAGGTGAGGCGGGGGCTTCAGGTTTCATTCCCCGGAGCCTTCCGTATCCCCCAAGCAGCATCTCTGTAGGAAGCATCTGGTCAAGAACATCCCAGGCCTGTGGGTGTCTCCATGACACTCAGAGGTTAAATACCCTACTCCCTGGAGCTCCCTTCTCACCCTGGAAGAGGACGTGGCCATGGCTGGAATGAGTGTGAGGGGCAACCAGATTCCTCTAGCATGGATCTGGGGCCTCAGTGGCACCAGCATCAGAGAAACAGAGAAACAGATTTGGCTCTAGAACAAAATCTAGAGCTGGGTCTGGGTCTGGCTTCCCTAATGGGAACTCCTGCCCATGAAGCTGATGTGTGGCCATCTCTCATCTTGGGACAGATGGACATTCACCGCAGTGAAGAGGGATGAGCACAGGCAGAGCTGGCTTCCCGGAGCTGGCTCTGCCAGGCACTTGCTGGGCGTCCTCGGGAAGGTCAATTAACGTCCCCAGACTTCAGTATCCTTGTTTGTAAAAGAGCGTTAACAGCATCTACTTCTGGAGGTGGTTTTGAGGGCTCAGCGAGATGATGATGGTATGATGAAGATGGTGATGGTGGTGACCATGATGGTGATGGTAACAGCTGACAGGCATGGAATCCTGGGAACCCTTCTGGGCACTGTTCGGTCTCCTCTTCAGGATGGAGGCGTTCACCTTGCAGCTTCCTGGCCTGCTGAGCGCCTCCCTGGAATTGCCTTCAGCCTAAGCCAGGGCCACACCCCTTTCCTGGGTGTCACCCACCTCAAGGGTGATGGATCCTGCCCCTGAGCTCCAGTCTGAGGCCACAGCAGAGCAGGTCCACATCTCCCTCTACCCAGTCCTGTCCCCATCGCCTCTCAACAGGCTTCCCTGCTGAGCCTCCTGCGTCCATCTCAGGAGGAATCCAACCCAGGACAGCCCTTTCCCGGCCCTGTCTCCTGTGGTCCTCCTAACAGCCCTTTGAAGGGGACACCACAGTTAAACCATTTACACACATGCAAACTGAGGGGTACAGAGATTAAACCTCTGTTGCAGCCCCCCGGGGAGGAAGTGGCAGGACTTGGATTGGAACACAGGGCACCTGGCTCCAGAACCGAGCTCTCAGCCGCCATGGGGAGCCCGGCCAGCGCTGGGCAGGCGGGCAAGGGGGCAGGAGGTAGTAAACATCCCTTCCTGCCCTGCCGCTGTGGCTGAGGGTGACTCTGGGCCATTGCCACCTACTCTGAGGCCCCGTGTTCCCCGATTGTGCCAGCAGCCAGGATAGTAGCAGCACCAGCAGCGCCTCCAGCCCCACGTGGAAAACAACACCTCCCGCGGCCGCCCGCCCCCTCCCCAGCTGCCGATGTAACACTGTGGTTCTGTGCCAGGGCGGAGCTCTGCCTGCTGCACCTCCTGTGGACCATGCAGCTGCAAAAACTGCTGGGGGAAGAGATTTGCCACCTGATCTCCCCTCACCCTGAGATCTGAGACCTTGAAAGGCCAGAGACCCTGCAGCACCCAGGTGCTGGCCAAGCCTGGGGTGTGGCAAGCAGTCCTGAGCGAGTCTAGGTATCTCCACCAACGACTCAGGATTCCAGGGATGGGCAGTGGACCCCTAAGGTCCCTTCCAGAGCTGCTGTTGTGAAGTTCACGTCCATGCAGATGTCCCCCAGGGCTTTTGAGTCTCCCTCCCGCACACCCTCCGGATGGCCAGAAAGGCCTTATACACGGGGTCAGAGCTTTGCATGTATGGCCATGACAATGCACCAGGGCTGGCAGGACCATCTTCCCGTGTCACAAGATAAACAAAGGCACAGAGAGTGGGAGGGACATGCCTCAAGTTATTCAGTCTTGAGATCTCCCCACTTTTAATCTACAGATGAAAATGTGTATGCTGCTGACAATCAGCATTAAGAGAGGGCTTCGAAACCATCCTGTCCTGTTCATTTGCTTGACAGATAAGGAACGGGGAGGCCTGGAGTCCCCCTCTTTCCCCCAAGTTGTACAACCCCCAGCAGCGGAGCTGGGGCCAGGGCTCTGTCTGGGCTTCATTCAATTACTCTTGGTTGGGTGCTTTTCAAATTTCATGCCCTCAATGGTTCCCAGTTAAGATTAAAACTTAAACCACTACTGAGGAGGTCAATGCTGCAATAACCTTAGGGACAATTGGTTCCCTGCCTCTGATTTCCTGTTCAGGGGATGGGGATGGAGCTGTCACGGAGGCAGCATGGCAGTCTGGGGTGTACACGCTGGAGACTGCATTTATTTTCCCATGGGTAGCACAGGCAGCCCAGGGAGGGAGGGTGAGGGACAAAGAGATGTGTGTATTCTGGCAAATTTGGGGAATTAACTCTGAGGTTGTTCCAAGGAGAAAATGATGTTTTGAATCAGGAGTTATTATCCCTCTGAGCTCACTGCCTTTTAAAGAATACCTTGTTTACTTAACGGTTCTGCTTACAGATTTATTTATACCTGGCTCACTTAGAAAAAGAATCTGAAGTGGCTAATTATTCAATTAGATTGTGAGCTCCTCCAGGGCAGGAAATGCCTTCATTAACTCTGCTCCTCTGAAAGGCTAACTCCTGCCCACCCCTGCCCACCTCTGCCCCGGGGCCTCCCAGGCTGCATTCTCGGGGTCTCTGTGCATTTTAAGAACATTTCTGTCTTTGTTCTCCAACTGCGAGCTCAGTGGGTGGGATCAGGGGCTACCCATAATTACATCTCAGTGTCTCATCCATTCACCTGTCTGTGCATCCATTCAGTCATTTATCCATCAACAAATCAAATATCCATCCATCCCAACATCCATCCATCCACATATCTGTCTGGCCAACTATTCATCTGTCTCTACAATCACCCATTCCCACAGCCATCCACAGCCATCCACCATCTATCTAGTCCTTCAAAACCCCAGAGAGTTGCACAACTACAGCTAAATGGAATAGACGACAAGGAGTTGTCCTTTGGCCTGGGCCACACTTTGTTCCAAGCACTGCACCGACTTGCAGAGAGTTTTTTTGATGAAGCTGGGCCAGCCCTGGGCATCTCCAGCCATCTGGGCTCCCTCCTACCCCATACTCTTTACCCTGATACTGATGAGCTGCTTCCTGTCCTCCCCGCGGGGCTGGAGTTCCTTGGGGCCAGCACCTTTCCTCATTTACCTCTTTAGGAACCTAAGAATCCTTATAAAGTGGATGAAGGAAAAAGTCAATCCCCACACAAATACTGCAATAGCTCAGGGGTTGGAATCAGGAGGCCAGGGGATTCAGCTTGACTTGAACCTTGTGCGATGGAGTGACAAACGTTGAGCAAGGGACTGTTTCCTGGGTACGTTCTAAGCACTTTATTTGCACTAATTGAATTCTTTCTCTGAGGTAGGTCCATTATTACGCTCATTTTACAGATGATGGAATAGAGGTAGAGCAGCCTGCCAAGGTGCACAGTTAGAAGAGGTGGAGCTGGGATTACCCCGCGACTGCTTCTGCTCGTTGCCCTGGGAACGGGTACGGGACCACAGGGTAAGAGGGAGTATTCCAGGCTCAGGCAACTGGCAAGCCAAAACTATCCCCGAGGGTAAGTGTGAGTGACCCCAATTCTTGAAGGGTACCTGTTGGGTGGGGATGTGTTTTTGGATGAGTCCTGAGAGTGAGAGGTGGTGGTGGGAAGGAGGACCGGGTGGGGGTGGGGAGCAGCTATTTGGAGATACGTGGCTGGGAAGAGGAGGGACTGAATCCTGGTGGTGGAGGCCACCAAGGTTCTCTGGGGGTGACTTGACCAGAGGCTAATGGACTAGAAAGCTCCTAGAACTGGGAGCAACTTAAAAGAAAGTTCAAGAAAGTTCTAAGAGGTCTGGAGAAAGTGGAGCCACCCGGGCCAGGGTGTCCAGGAATCAGGATGCATCTGCTAAAGCAAAATCCTCACACTAAGGTAGACAAGGGGCCCATGGACACCTGTCAGCTCCATGCATTTGCCATTTGCAGCCTGGGGGTTCCTTTGGTTCTAGGTGTTCAGTGCTGACTCCTAAATGAAGGCTCAGCTCCTCGCACTAAGGAGAACTACTGTTTCTGCAATGTTTCCCCCTTCGTCTCTTTTTCTTTGAGATAAGTTCTCTCTGTATTGACCAGGTTGGCCTCTAACTCCTGATCCTCCTGCCTCAGCCTCCCGAGTAGCTAACAGGCCTGTGCTCTCACACCCGTCTTCTGCAATGTTTTAAGTGAAAAAATCCCTTTACTTCATTCCAGTGCCTGACCAGGGCAAGAAGGCATTGTTTCCATGTCCTTTCTACAGATTAGAAAATGGCTGCATGAATGAGGAGAATGACTTGCTGAAGGCCAAACAGCTAGAGAGGGGCCCAGGAAAGGAGGAGGGAATGAGAACTAGGTCTATTTGAGTCTGGCTTCCATTCCTCGGCTTCCACTTTTGAGGAAGGGTATTTTATCCCGAGAACTGGAGCACCTGACGCGTCCGCGGGGACTCCATAAATGGTTGCCGAGTGGACACAGGACAGCGGTATTAGGAAGAGGTAGGACAGAAAGGTTCTTGAAGCCTTTGGATAGATTACTGAATCAACCCTCCTCACACCTGAGCTGACAAGAGCCGGGTCCTCCCCATTTCGCAGGGAGGAGAAGGACTGAGAGGACTTGATGACAGGGCAAGGGGTCCCACAGCAAGTGAGCAGGCAGGGAGGACTCCTGCAGAGACTGGGCCTCCTGTGGCCACTGGATGGTCACCTACCCACACAGACACACAGATAGACACACACACACATGCCCACTACACACACAAGTGGACACACACACACACACACACACACATACACACACGAATACACAGACACTCACCCAGCAATGGAGGTCTTCAGAGAAGATTCCCTGATGCCTTGGCTAGTGCGTCCCCATGGGAAAATCCTGGGGAGACTTCTTTTGGGCTGTCTCCTGGCTGGTTCCAAACTAGTCCCTCCAGAGAATGCAAACAACTGGGTTTTCTGGAGAAGAACCCGCCCCCCGCCCAGCTCCTTCTAGTTTTGGGGAGAGGATGATGGAAAATCCACCTGGGAAGGGGCTGGAGGAAGCCAAGAGCGAGGAGATGGCTGGAGCAGGAAAGTCCCACGGGACTTGATTGCTTTGCCTAGTTCTTAGTTCTTCCTAAAAAAAAAAAAAAAAAAAAGAGGCAGGCTAGCAGGCCATGTCCCCCCTAGTTGGCTGGGCTTTGGGGCTGCCTGGTGGCTCAGGATGATCAGCCCCTTTTCTATGCACCAGCCCCACTTCCTAAGGTTCCCTTCCACTGGGGGAGTTAGTGTCCCTCTCTGTGCAGGAGGAAAGGACCTTGGTTTGTAGTCAGACCCAGTTTCAAGTGAAGCCCAACCCCTTTCTGACTGTGTAATCTTGAGCAGCTCCTGTTGCCTCTTTGGGCCTCAGTTTCCTCATCTGTAAAATGGGGAAAGTGGTGCCCCCTCCTAGGTGTGGGCAGGATCAACCAGAAGGATTTCTCTAAAACACGCAGCACTGAGGCTGGCAGGAAGCAGATGCTCAGATAAACTGTTCCCTCTCCCTCCTCCCTCTGAGTCCACTTTCCTCATGGCTGTGACACACACTGGGTCCTGATCAGAGCCTCGGGGCCTGGCACATAGTAGATGATCAACATACTAGAATCCAGAGCTGCTCCCAGAACTCTTCCAGAAGAGCAAGCTCCTGTGCTTGGTGTTGGAAACCTCTAGGGATCAGAGCCTAGAATGCCCTCGTCCTTCCTGTAGCCGGCAGACCTGGGCAGCTGGGCTGAGCACGTGCTTTCAGGGGCTCTGATCTGGGTTTCCCCTGATCAGGCCCATTCCTGAGTCAAGGAGTCTACAAGACCAAGGGTTGGGTCCACACGGAAGCCACTTTCTCTTCCAGACTATACTCTGGAGACTTGACCCCCCAGTCTCTGCTCAAGTGACCCTGAATTTGCTTCTGGGGTCTCCTGGGCCTCTTCCCTGGTCATCATCCTGTAGCTGGACCACAGCGTGTGCATCCATATGTCCTAGAGATGGCCAGCCGTGGTCACGTGTCAGACCTGCCGATGGTGCGGGGACACACACCTGTGCACGTGAGGGCCCTTGCAGAGGAGGTTGGAATGGGAGCTGGGAAGGGGAGGGGTGGCAGGATGCTCCTTTTGTGTGGCAGTCCCTGGCCCGGCCCCTTCTTACCGAGAGCTGCTCAGGTGTGGCTCAGGAGGGACTGGAGACCTCTGTGCTTTGAGGTCTTCCTGTGTCCTCTGGACCCGGAGCTTCTCTGTCTGTGGGCATCACCTCTGGGTGGGGACAGGCTGCCTGTCCATGTTCTGGTCTAGGGGCCAAGATGGCCAGGAATGATGTCTGGAGGTCTGAGGAGGGAGTGCCACAGCCCTCAAGGCCTGGTGCAATGGCTGGCTCTGCCTGGGAGCTGGGGTCAGGCGGCTGGAGGAAAGGGAACGGGGGAGCAGGAGAGGGGGAGCCCCAGACCCCTCACAAGGCCAGGCCTGCTGAGGTTACAGGAGCTGGTACCACGTACAGCCCAATGACTTGGATGAGGGACAGTTCTGGGCTTTCCTCACCAGATGACCACAGCCTGTGCCCAGTGTAGGTGTGACTCAGCCCCAGGTGGACCCTCAGCTCTGGTGAGGGAGTTGGCTTGCTGAGGGGAGTGTGGGATCAAAACCCTGGGCTCAGCTGGGCGCAGAGGCACACGCCTGTAATCCCAGTGGCTTGGGAGGCTGAGGCAGGAGGATCAAGACTCAAAGCCAGCCTCAGCAAATGCAAGGTGCTGAGCAACTCAGGGAGACCCTGTCTCTAAATAAAATATAAGATAGGGCTGGGGAGGTGGCTCAGTGATTGAGTGCCCCTGAGTTCAATCCCAGGTACCAAAAAACCAAAACAAAAACCCAAAAAACCCTGGGCGCCTCCCCTCCCCTTTGGGGTCACTTTCTTGAGAGAGAAAAAAAAATACAAGAAAATTCATCCATCTCAAGTATAGCTTCCGTTTTGAAAAACACACTGAAGTCTTGTTGCTGTGACTGTGATTACGATGACAAAAAATCTTTCTCTATTTAGGACCCTTTCTCACTCCAACCCTCTGACACCAAATGCACAGGGCTTTCTCCCTAGGGTTAGTCAGCTTTTTGTCGCTGTGACCCAATACCTGACACACACAACTTAAAGGAGGAAGGTTTATTTCGGCTCTTGCTTCCAGAGGTTTCAGTTGGTGGTCAGCTGATGCCATTGCTCTGGGCTGAAGAAGAGGAGTGACACCATGGCAGACGGGCTTGGCAGAGGCGAGCGGCTTGGCTCAGGGCAGCCAGGAAGTAGAGAGAAAAAGAGAGAGAGGTTAGAGACAAGAAAGAGTCCCAGGGCACACACTAGTGACCCCTTCCTCCAACCATGCCCCACCTTTTTCAGTTTCCATCACCTCCCAGTATTCCATGCGGCTGTTGTGGGTCAATCCACTGATGAGGTCAAAACCCTTGTGGTCCAATCTCTTCTCCAAAGCCCACCTCTGGGTGTTGCTGCCCTGGGGACCAAGCCTTTAACCCATGAGCTACAGAGGACGTTCCAGGTCCACCTGTAGCCCCCCAAACTCATGCTCACTTTGCAACACCAGACTCCTCTCCGAGTGCCCAGCGTCTTACCAGTTCCGGCATTACTCAAAAGCAAGTTCCACGCTTCCAACATAAAACGGCAGAGTAAACATTCCCATTCAGAAGGAAAAGGATGGGGGCATAGGAAAGGAGGGTGTGAACAAGGCAAGGTGGACCTAGGCAGGGAAGGCACTAAGTCCTACAGGTGCGCGTCAGGCATCTGGGGCACGCGGTGGTGAGCTGTGGGCCCTAAAGGGCTTTGCTGGTTGCAGTTCACGTGGCGTCTTCTTGGGCTGGTTCTGCTCACCGCCTGCGGCTTCCCTTGGCAGACACTCCACATTCTTGGCATCTTTAATGTCCTGGGGTCTCCACTGGAGTTTCACTCACTGGCCTCTAAGAGGCTACCCAGCAGCCTCCCAACCCTGACCCTCACTTCCTAGCTTCATAGGCCTATCTTTGAAAATCTCAGTGGAATCCTTCATAACCTCATGATTCTTTTTTTTTTAAAATACTTTTATTTTATTTGTTTATTTTTATGCAGTGCTGAGGATTGAACCCAGGGCCTCATACATGCAAGGCGAGTGCTCTACCACTGAGCCATAACCCCAGCCTCCTCATGATTCTTCCTTTTTCACGTCCGTTAAGCCAGTATCGTGTGGATGACATCAAGGTCTGCAACAGGGCTACTGGGACCACATTGGAGGAGCTTCTTTTTTTTTTCTGTGTATTTCTGGAGGAGCTTCTGAATGCCTGAATGGCTGAACAAAGTGAAAGGAATCCTGGGAAACCACTTCCTAGGCAACCCTATGGAAACAAGGTACACAAGGGTTCTCTGCTTCAAGTTGTCTTTCAAATGAATTTTCACTTTTATACCCTTGTGCCTGTGGTGGGTGGGATCTTGCCGATTCCTGAGATGCCTTCAAAGTATCTTTGCCAGTGTCTCCAGACAAAGTACTTGGTTTCTCTTTAATGGTGCTAATCTCTTCAGCAGCCACACCTTCCCTAGCCCCAACTGTTAACATGAACATTTTTCTGGCCAAATGGTAAGATTTCCAAATCTTTCTTCTCTGATTTTTACTCCTGGTTATCACTGTAAAAACCTGGCTAAACCCCTCCAGCAATACCCATGCCATTGCCTGAATACTGTACTGTCTTGAAATTTCCTCTGCTAGGTTAATCAGTCCCTCACCCTTACATTCAGCACAAAGTTTCAGGACAAGGACAAAAAGTGGATAAGTTCTTTACTAGAATGTAACATGGGTGGCCTCTAATCTAATTCCCAATCAGTTCCTCATTCCCATCTGAAACCGCATGAGCACAATCTTTACTGTCTGCATTCCTATCATCTTTCCAGTCTTCTAAGATTCCTTCAGAATTGTCATTAAGGTCAGCTTACAACATTAATGGCTTCTCTAGCCAGAATCTCCAAACTGTTTCACACTCCTCCTGCAAACTAGTTCTAAAGACTTCTGAAACACATGGTCAAGTAGGGCAACAACCCCACTTCCCAGTACCACTTTTCTGATTATGTCAGCTTTTTAGCACTGCGAACAAACACCCAACACAAACAAAGAAGGAAAGGTTTATTTTGGTTCTTGCTTTCAGAGGTTTCCGTCCACGGTCAGCTGATTCCATTGCTCTGGGCTTGAGAAGAGGAACGCCACCATGGCAGAGCTTGTCCAGATTCCCTTGGCTCATGGCAGCCGGGGAATGGAGAAAGTGAAAGAGAAAGGGGTCAGGGACAAGATAGAGTCCCCAAGGGCACACCTCCAATGACATACTTCCTCTAAGTATGCCCCACCTTCCTACAGTTTCCGTCACCTCCACTGCCCCACTCAGCTATCAATGCATTAAGCCACTGAGGAGGTCCAGCCCTCGTGATCCAGTCGCTTCCCCAAAGCACCCCCTCTGGAGGTTGCAGGCCTGGGGACCAAGGCTTCAACCCATGAGCTTCAGGAGAGCATTCTAGATCCCATACCCAGCAATTATCCAGTGCCCTGAGGACACCCACGGAGCATCCTACAGTTGAACTCAGTTGTGACCCTTATCAGGAGTCAGCAGGGACCTCACAGACTGTCCCCAGTTGCAAATAGTGGGGCCCCAGGTTACCCCCACTTCTGTCCCACCTGGCTATAAGTTGGAGGTTCCCACAACCACCTCCTCAGGTTCACAGGACGCAGGGCGGTGCTTTACTAATTTTTCCTGGTTTGTTTAAAGGATATGTCTAGACACAAAGGAACCCTCTGGTGGAGAGGTTCAGAGGGGAGGTGTGTGGAGCTGAAGCTCCAGGGCCCTGTCTCCGTGGAGTCGGGGTGCCCCGCCCGCCTGACACACAGACACGGCTGTCAGCCCGGGGGCTCTCTGACCCACTTCCTCAGGGATTTTAGGGAGGTCTAGTTAGTACCCATGACTGATGGAATCCCTGGGCCTTGATGGTTAGCCCAATCTCCAGCCCTGACCCCTCCCCAGAGGTCAGGGGGTGGAGCCAGAATTTCTCTCCTGTAATCATCCAGTTGGTTCCCTTGGCAACCAGCCTCCCCATCCTGCGACTCATCACCGTAACTCAGGTGAGGTCAGAAGGGGATTCTTAGGCACAAAAAGATGCCCCTCTCACCCCATCCCTCAGGAGATTCCAAGCACTTTGGAGCTCTTATGCCAGGAATGAGGAGGACATTCAGGTGCCTTTTTCTTCCCGGGTTGCAGAGTCACAATGACACGCTGCATTTCATCACCACGATGAGTCCCCTTGTGCCCTTTGCAGTCGATCCCCATCCTTTTCCCCTGGGCCCAGGTAATCCCTGATCTGCTTTCTGTCACTATAGTCTTGTGCTTTTTAGAATTTCACACAAACAGGGTCATATGGCATGTCTTTAGTGTCTGGATTCTTTCATTCAGCGTAATCTCAAGACCCTCCCATGTTGTTCTTACATCCGTGGTTTAATCCCTTTTCATTGATGAATAATATTCCATTGTAGAGGTGTGTCTCATTTTATCCATTCTGCAGTTGATGGACATCTCAATGTTTCTAGTTTGGGGGTGACCATCCACGCTCCTCCAGGTGTTAGACTCTGGCCTCCAATCCAGGCCATGGAGAGATCATGAATGCAGGAGAGCAGGTGGGTGAGGGAGGTAGCCTTGGTCAGGTTGTGTATCTGTGAGGGTCTCAGACTGTCAGATCAACAAGAGCCTCTGGGAATCCTTAAGTTGTGTTGCCATTTTACAGATGGAAAACAGAGGCCCCAGGGTATAAGGGGCCTGTGCTGGTCCCAGAGGGAGTTGGTACTGCAGAGCAGGGAGGGGGCAGTAAGTGGAAGGATTTTGGAGTTAGATGATCCCCAGATTGCAGTCTCTGTTTACTCCATGACTAGCCTCTCCGTTTTTCCTTCTGTAAAATGGAGAAAAAAGCAACCTTACGGAGTGGATTGGGAGGATTAAGGGCTTGGAGCTTGATACTGTCAAGAAATGAATTTTTTGAATGCTTCCTTTGTGCCAGGCACAGTTCTTGGTGCAGGGGAAATAGTGGAGAAGAAGATAAACAAAGTCCTTTTGTTGTGCAGGCTCCTGACAGTCGGGGAGACAGATTTCAAATAAAATCAATAATTAGAACCTGCAAATGTGCTATTTGAAGAAGCCAAATTGCCCTCTCCTTCAGACAGTGTGGGTAGAGTCTCGGGGAAGAGATGGTGTGTAAGTGGGGCCTGGGTGGTGGGAGGAGCTGACCCCTGGGGAGGTGGTGGGCGCAGGTGCAAAGGTCCAGAGGTGGGCAGAGGCCTGCTGCATCTCAGGCACGGAAAGAAGTGTTCTGTGACCCTGGCTCCCAGATCTGGGGAGGGGCGGGGGACAGAATCACGAGAGAGGTGGGCTGGGATCTGCCCCCACTGGGCCTCCCAAGGGTTTGGATTTTATATAAAGAACAGATTTATTTTCGAC